GTGGCAGATATCTTACTAAACAGATATGCCCACTTCTTCCTCCATCTAACCCCTGATTTACCTGGCCACTCCCCGCCACAGCTCAGAACTTGACACCTAAAGTTCTTAAGCACCTCCCACCACACCTAAACAGGGCCCGTTGAAGGCCCTCCTGAAGGCCCAAAATAAATAGGTCACACCCGACATCTGACAGATGTACACAATCCCTCCTGAAGTACCCAAGAACCATGCCTTCCAATTCCCCATGCCTCACTGCCACTCCACCTATCCGCCTAATAAAGACCACCATCATTTTATTGATTTATCCCTGACACCAAGCCACCGCGGCCAGGTTCTTGGCATGTTGCCAGTGAACCGAGGAATCATCTCGGACCACACAACCACCACACCTGGAGCCAGCTCCCGTAGCCGGTCCACATTCCTCTTCATCCATCTGACCAATTCCTTTTTTGGGACCATGCCCAGATCATTACCTCCAGCATGGATTAACAGTACATGCAAAATGGTCCCCCTTGCCACCCTCCGGAAAATTTGTCCACTAATGCCTTGCCAACCAAAACCCTGAAAACCAAACCACTCCAGTGTCACAAACTCCAGAGGAAATTCCAGCTGCACTCCTTGTTTCCGAACTGCGGCTCTCTTCTGCACCCAGTAGATGTAAGAGTGGCCCACCAACCAGGCCACCCAACCTAAAATGAAAACAGAATCAGTGACAAGGCATAACACCAAACAAAACCGACCAATCCACGCCCCTTAGACCAAGTGTTCAGGCCGTAAGTAAGCCTTAAAACGTACCGACTCCCATCTGCCGATCCGTTTCACCAGTTCATCACCGAAACACAAGCAGGACACCTGTGTCACCGCCCCTATCCAGAAGGAATGGGTTCCAAACTGCATGGGATCCAAACCCAGCTCTGCCAAACCCAACCGAAAACCCCAAAAGAATTGTAACCGCGACAAAGCGGATCCATCCCCATGCACCAAAAAACAGCCCTGGATGTCCGGGCGAATCTCCACGTACCGCGATGCGCATGAAACCGGTCAGACTCCTGACCCAGGCAATGAAAATAGTGTTACACAATTGTTACCAAATACATCCGTCTTTGTACCGCCCAACCGAATCACCACCCAAGTGTTGCACCCTCCCAACACCTACCCGGGAGGTACTCACCAATTCACCAATTCAAAAGGCCCTGAAGAACCCCCACGAGAAGGCATCCGAGAATAACGCCACCTCGAAAGGAGATAAGCACACCACCGGCAGAACAGCCACTAATCGTTGCAGGACTCCAAAAGATACTGGTCTTCTAGTATCTACCGATTTCTTACCTCTCTAAGGCTTAACAAATGAGAAAATGTTTAGTGACGTCCTTCCAACAATTCAACTGGAACAGAAACGCCAATGCCGCCATGTTCCTGTCGATCACAGACAGAGACACACGCTGTGCATACAAGCGGCATAGGAACCACAGTAAAGTATCCAGCCATCCCTCCCTTGACTGGGACAGCTCTGTGCAACCTACCGCCTTGTCCCAGGCATCCCAAACATTTACATAAACAGCCCACGTGCCAGGTGCCAGAGAATTTCCATATGAATCCTCCAAGCCATGGGCGTCTGCAGGGGGGGGCAAGTGGGGGGGCTTTTGCACCACCTGGATTTTTCAGCTTGTTCTGCTATTTTTCGTGTGATTGAAAATGAACTGCAATACCGGCGCCGTGTACCGGCTGTGTATGGAGAGAGACAAGGATAGGAAGCTGCATTTTATCCCTGCTTCTCTCTGCTGATTGAAACCGCAGGGGAACAACACATGCAGCCAGAGACAGCCTACAGATGAGGTAAGTGAGGGATGGGGGGAGGGTTTGAGATAGCCTATAGATTTGGGGGGGGTAGCAGCCTATAGATTAGGTAGATTAGGCAGCAGCCTATAGATTAGGGAGTGAGGCTGGGGGCAGCATAAATTAGGGCAGTGAGGCTAGGATTAGGGGAGTGAGGCTGGGGGGCAGCAGCCTATAGATTAGGGAGTGAGGCTGGGGGCAGGCATATATTTAGGGAGTGAGGCTGGGAGGGCAGCAGCCTATAGATTAGGGAGTGAGGCTGGGGGCAGCAGCCTATAGATTAGGAGGCCGGGGGGGCAGCAAACCCATAGATTAGGGGAGTGAGGCTGGGGCAGCAGGGAGAGTGAGGCTTGGGGCAGCAGCCTAGATTAGGAGTGAGGCTGGGGCAGCAGCCTTTAGATTAGAGTGAGCAGCCTAGATTAGGTGAGGAGATTAGGGGAGTGAGGGGGGCAGCAGCCTATAGATTAGGGAGTGAGGCTGGGGCAGCAGCCTATAGATTAGGGGAGTGAGGCCGTGGGGGGCAGCAGCCTATAGATTAGGGGAGGAGCACTGGCGGGGGGCAGCAGCTCATGGATTAGGGGAGTGAGGCTGGGGCAGCAGCCTATAGATTAGGGGAGTGAGGCATGGGTGGACAGCCTATAGATTAGGGAAGTGAGCATAGGCATGCGCAGCCTATTGCATTAGGGTGTGCACCGTAAGTACAAACACACGCCATATACGCCAAACACATGCACCGTAAGCACAAACACACGCCATATATGTATATGTATGTGTGTATGTGTATATATATATATATATATATATATATACACTGCTGTGTGTGTGTGTGAGGGTGCTGGTAGTGTGCTATGTGGGTGAGGGTGTTTTTGTGTGTGTTTGTGAGAGTGCTGTTAGTGAGGGTGCTGTTTGTGTGCTGTGTGTGAGGGAACTGGTAGTGTGCTGTGTGTGTGTGAGAGGGTGTTTGGGTGTGCGTGTTTGTTCAGGTCCTGTTAGTGTTCTATGTGTGGGTGTTGTGTGTTTGTCAGGGTGCTGTTTGTGTGTGAGTGTGCTGTTTGTGTGTGGGTGCTGTGCGGGTGTTGTGTGTTGTGTGCGGCCATTGCAGGGGGTGGAGCTACTCACCTTTGGCGCGCTTCTCCCCTCTGAAGCACGGGAAGGCTGGACGGCTCCTAGCTCTGGTCCTGTTGTCCCACCTAAACGCAAGTTGGCATTTATTGTTGTTATTAGTATTTAGGTTGGGGTTAATCAACCCCATGGGCTTTTTTCTTAGGTGTTACTTCAACTCTGCAGTCAGGGTATAGTTGTTAACCCTAGAGGGTTCTTCCCTCCTTTTTCTCCTTTCACTCCCTGTACAGTTTGCAACACACTGTACACGTAACAATTATGGCTGGCTGTGTGCTGGGACTTATGTAAGTGCTAATTTAAAGGTCCCTCTCCCGCAAATTATAAGACTACTATCAAAAAGTGGGAACTCACTTACCCAATCTTTACATACAATGGTGAAAGAAACCAGATATCTGACTTTGCCTGCCCTAGGACAAATACGGATTTACAACTAGTTGGCCATTCTGCTGTACGTAACCTATAAGATGCAGAATCACGGGGAGAGAATTGAGGGCCCTGGCTGCCCTAACACCGAAACTACTTTGACTCCTCCTGGCCTAGACCTAGGTATATTGCCCTCTCAGGAATTCCAGGCTCTCCTGGAGTCTACTATGGCCAGCTCGGTCCAGCGAGCCCTGGCATCGCCCGTTGGGATAATGTACTCCTCGATCTCCCACTCCCTGGCACAAGCACTCCTACAACCCCCAGAGTTACAGCCAACTATACCGGCCCAGACTGATACAGCAGTCAGTGCGGCCCGCAAGGCAAAAGCAAAAACTAAACATACCTCTCCACTCCCACTGATGCAGGTATTGCCTGCCGTGATTGACCCGCCTATGGCGGTCCCAGATGGCGTGTTGTCATGCAAGAGAGCCACTGGCCGGGCACAACTGGCCAGAAATTGGAAACGGGCACGGGCCCAATACGAAGGGTCAGACTCTGACCAAAGTGTGGAGTTGGTGTCGGATGACCCAGATTATATTTACCAAGAGATGGCTTCCAATTCGGAGAAGGAGTCTAGCCCTCAGGAGGAGCCGACGGGGGTGGAGGATGGTATTCGGGACCCACGGGGATACCCCCTCTTCGACCCGGATGACATCCACCAACCTCGCTCGGCGGAGTGGGATCCACCGACGCATATCGCGCAGTACTAACGAGAGTAAGAACAAGCTCCGAGGGGAGTGTCCCAGACCCTCCGTGCCAGACCTGGCATGCAGGACCCCTGTGGTGGATCCCCATATCGCCCAATTCCTTTCAAAATCTGTCTGAAAGCCCAAAAAGGGACTGGAGTTTTCGCTCCACAGCTGCCAGGATAAAATACTGGACACCCTGGGGCCAACCACAAAATTATATGAATAACTTGAATCCGCTAAAGCGGGAGAGATCACCATGGACTTCGATGAGGCCATTGGCTGGGTCCAAAGATTTATTTGCCCATTAGGTAACGCTAACACGGTCATCTCGGCGGAACGCCGTAAATCTATTTTACTAAAGATTGAGGCAAAGCTGATTAATCTGGCAAATAGAGAACCGGGGCCCACATCAAAAGGGATGCTATTTGGAGAATCCTCTGTCAAAGACATTGGAGCTTTTGTAAAAACCTTCACCACATTAGACAAGGCACAGGCCAATCTAAAAAGGGTATTCAGCCCCAAGGTTTTACATTGGGCCAGGAGATCTAAGAGCCGTCCACCCGGCCGAGGCTATAGAGGTCCCTCCAGGATCCATAGAGGCTCTTTCAGTGCACCCCCACACCTATCAGGAATTCTGACCGGCACCCTTCTTCCCGTCGGAAGCTGTAGGCAATCGACATACAGACGTCCCTACTGTAAGTACAATATCTCACCCTCCTTCACAGTTAAGTATAGGGGGCAGACTAGCAAGGTTTACACACACATGGGACAAGATCACCAAAGACGCATGGGTTTTGAGCACAGTCAGAGTGTGACGGACCCGCTGACACTCCGACCGAGTACCTCCGCCAATCGATGCTCCTAGTGCTTGCCGAGGACTCCAAGCACTCCAACCGACACCATCAGCACTGCTGACTTATCCCATCCCCCAAGCATGAGCCAAGGCTTCAAGAAAGGGTCAAGCAGGTCTGTTTAATGAGCACACAAAAGCAACAGCACTCATGCAGCAAAACAACTCCTCCTCAGAGGAAAACAAAATGACAGTTAAAGACAGACGGTGTTTGAAAATATGACAGTTATTAAGGGTTTAAACTGGTGTTCTAAGAAGGGAGGGGAATAAAACAGTCAAACTAAGTCCATAAAACAGGGGTTTTCTTCACACTCTGCATCCAAAGTGCATAGCAAAACTGCAGATCCTTTGTCAGAGCATTTAAAGGGCCAGAACCAGTCTAATAAAATCCACTATGCCCAAATAACGTATTTAAAGGGCAAAATCTCCCAGGGACCATAGTCATATGGCAAGAGGCTGGTAATTACTCCTCTCCAGGCACAAGTGGCGAACAGCACTGGAAGAAGGCTACCAAGCCGAAACGCGTTTGCTGCTATTTACTGCTGCTATTTACTATTTTGATTGTAATTTTTATCTTCTTATATTACTCCTTTGGTTATTTCAGCTTGGGTAAGTGGATACCTTTTTTATATTATTTGTTATTGGGTTCCACTCCCCTATAACCAGGAGTTTGCTTATTATTTTTATCTTTTAATAAATATATACCTTTTTTACCACGGAATTTCTCCATTTATTATCTGGAATTTCATCAGCCTGAATTGGCACCTTTGAGCCTGCTACACAGAGCCTGGTACGGCTCTGGTAAATGTGAGTGGTTGTCCACCTTCTATTTTATATACATTTGTATTATACAGTATATACTATGTTATGTTATGTATTTATATTTTGTAGATAATACTCTGCCATTCTTCAACGTTCAGGTTGTATTTTATGGTTGTTTTCTACCACTTCACTTGTTTTTGGGCTTATTCCTTTTTATGTGGTTTTGATATATATTTCTTTTTATATTTACTCTTATCTAGTGTCTGGGAAACACTGTTGTATCAACCACTTTGTTATATCCATTATACTTCCATTTTGTGAAGCGCCTACCCACTATCCTCTATTTTCTTTGCTATTGTTCTTTCCCTTTTTGTTAGTGTGGGCTGCTCTATACATATAATAATATTATGGATTTATTTGCAAATAGAGATAATTGGCAAGATAAGCTGGCCAATCGATTTGAATGTGAAAAAGACAACATCAATTTTAATAATGATAATTTAGACTTCACTTGTCAGAATTTACAAAAACTTCTGACAAAGGAAACTAAAATTAAGTGGGAAATTTTCACTATGACTAAATATTTAGAAAATAACATCACACCGAGAGGTTTACGTTTTTTTTAAACTCCTACATTTGATAGAGATGACTCAGAATTTATAGAAATTTGGGATGCTGCCCTTGAGTCTTTCTCTATACGAATGATGAAAATCTGTATACAACAAAGAAAGAGAAATCTATTAAAATTAGATGTTGAAATTAATCAAATTCAAGAAAAAATAAGACCTTTAGCAGGCTGTGAAGAAGTTGAAAAATCTTTAGAAACAGTTAAAGACTATGTGGAAAAAATTGAACAAGAAACAGTGGCTATTAAAAAGAAAAAATTCTTAAGAGACAAAAATGATTATGCTTTTAATAAAGTAAGTTCTTTTGCAAAAAAATTTCAACAACGAGATAGATCACAGTCACGCAACAAATTTTATCCACATAGAGATACCTATTCTTATCAAGTTCCAACCAATAGAACTAACTATGAGAGCAGACAACCCTTTAGGAAATTTCAAACACAGAGAAATGAGATATCTGGACAAAATAGAGAGAAGAGAAAGACACCAGAAAAAGTATCTTACCAAAGAACATCATACAAAAAAGATGGAAAATAACCATGACAAGTTCCAAAATTCCAAATTTAAAACTTTATCGGAAAACTCACCTAAATATTCCCATCCTCAACAATCCCCACTTTTTTTAGGGCAGAGACCCTTAAGGAGAGAGTTGAGAAATTTCCCCCAAAAAAGAATTTGGCAGGGAGCAAGAGAGGAGTTAGGGCAGGAAGAATTTTGGAGAGAGAAAAAAAGAGGCAGGATAACAGAACAATAGGAATTTTTAATTTATCCGATAAAGTTCTTACTAACTCCCAAGTAGAAATTTTAAAAAAAGGTCTAAAATTCGTCCCTTCAGAATATAACCAACCATTCAGGACATTCATAGATGTAAATAAATTTATACGTAATATGAGTATTAAATTGTTTTTTGAAAAATCACCTTCTATAGAAGAAACAATTACATCTCAAGAATTTAAACACACCTCTTTAAAAAAGAAATCCACTTTTTTCCTCGACATTGTATTAATAGTGGAATGAAAGTTTTTGAAAGGTTGGTTATGAGTGAAGTAAAGAAAATCGATAAGCCTAAATATAACAATATTAGTCATCAACAAAGGATAGCAATGAAAGAGTTACAATCAGACACAAGTATAGTTATTAAACCCGCCGATAAAGGTGGGGGTATAGTGATTCTTAATAAAAATCAATACTATTCAGAAATATATAGACAACTTAATGATATCACTACCTATAAGGAATTGAAGGGTGATCCCACTAGCCAAATTAGAAAAGCATATTCAGAACTTTTGGATAGAGGCAAAGTGCTGGATATCCTGAATAAACATGAATTTTTATACCTTGATGTTTCTTCTTGCAGGACTCCAGTACTTTACATACTTCCAAAAATACATAAAGACCAAAAAAAAACACCAGGTAGACCTATAGTGTCCGGAGTTGGGTCACTTTTGAGTAATCTCTCTGAGTATGTGGATAAACAACTCCAACCATTGGTAATATCACAGCCATCATATTTAAAAGACTCTACCTCTTTGTTGAAATTCTTGATGGACATACGATGGGAGAATAACTATCTCCTAGTAGCATGTGATGTTACAAGTTTATATACTTGTATATCACATGCTTTAGGCAGCGAAGCGGTAGAGTATTTTTTAAAACACCAAAGCGATATGAGACAAGAACAGATTACATTTTTTATGGATAGTATTAAACTTATCCTTAATAACAATTATTTTTGGTTTGATGAAAAAATTTTTTTACAGTTAAAAGGTAGCGCGATGGGAACCAGATTCGCGCCCAGCTATGCCAATCTTTTTATGGCACGTTGGGAGAATCTCTTTCTCTCAGAGGCTCGCAGGGCGCAAAGTCTGGTTCTCTATCTTAGGTACATTGACAACATTTTTTTCATTTGACAAGGAGATGTAGATTCACTTCGATCCTTTATTGATTTTTTAAATTGTAACCATTCAGATATACATATTACAAGTGAACATAGCACTGAGGGCATTAGCTTCCTCGATTTATAAGTATACATTGAAAATCAAACTATTCAGACTAAGACCTTCTTTAAGAAAGTCGATGTCAATGGGTACATTGACACTTCAAGTTGTCATTATGGCCCATGGCTACATAATATGCCTAATAGCCAATTCTTGCATCTATATAAAAACTGCAGCGATCCCAAATTATTTGATGAACAGACACAGTTTCTAAAAACTAGACTAATCGAGAAAAACTATGATGCGAAGACTTTAGATAATTTTATTAATAAAACCAAAGAAAAAGAACGCAAGGATATTTTAACACAAAATAGTAAGATATCTAATGTGAAAAAGAAGGAAAGCTTCTCAAATATCCCAATCGTTCTAAATTATAATGAAAATGCTAAACAGATAAAACATATTATTAACAAATATTGGTATATTCTTAAATCAGACCCAACTCTT